GATCATATCTCGTGAATAAGCACTTTAAATTTATAAGTGGATACATCAATGGACCAAAGATAAGAGAAAAGTACAAATGAAAATGAAGATTCTCTATTATCACAAATCGTAAAAGTAAAAATTAATATGTATATACCAAGAAAGAACATAAAAATTTGTGCGTTAAGTATTTTATACCTTTCATGAAATTTACATCTCCATCGATAAAACAGAACGAACACGTATGGATCATCGACATACAATACAAACGTGAAAAAGCTGAACAAAAATTGAATTACTTAATTTCATTGCTTATTAAATTGCCAGATATTTTGTGATGTCTAAATATATAACTGTAATGAAAAAATAATAACAATTTTGTCTTAATATTTCGCAGGTGAAAATTAAAAATATCTACCATACCGATTGATTTTAGATCGAAGCGATTTGCACAGGTAATGAAACATCTACACAGACACATTGCACAGGAGTGTGTAAGCTGTGTGAGCTGTCACATAATGAACACCGACCACATCGCGTGTGTAGTCAACTGGCACAATTTCTTACGATAATGAGATTATCTAAAATACGTATATCAAACCTTCGCGATACCATGTGAAATCCATTGTTGCAAACCTGTTTATGGAAAGAAGAACCTCAATATTTATAACCTTAATAACGTGACATGTGACATTAAGAACATAAATAAACTGTATCCTTTTAAAAGTTCAGTTTTTTAAATACTTTTTCATTTTTGTTTGAAAATAACAATGAAATCGGTAATGATAGTAAATTTGACAACGTGCAAGTGTCGTAATCTTGATTTAGATATTGATAAACATATTGTAAAACAGGTCCGCGAGATATTCATTTTTCATTTCATTCTGATGAATCGTTTAATTTGATTTCATGCCAACATTCTATACCCCTCTCTCACGTGTTAGATCATTTTTTGAGTCATGAAAATCTATGACTTCGTTGTTGTAACATTTCTTTTGTTGTATTACAACTATTGTCTACCTATGCATCAATAGTGTATATTTTACTTGTTTCTTGCTTTTAAATAATGAGTACCGTTGTTTGTGCTATGTTTAATTAGTGAAAATGATTCGTGAATTAAAAATTATTTAAATAATATGACAATAAGAGATTTTAATCTACATTATTGTACCCTGAAAGCTACAAAGTACAAGTGTATTATGAAATTAGTTTGACTTAACTCCAGATGTTTAGTTACTTAATGATTATTTTTGTAACATTTCAATAAGAATGGCTGACAATATATCAAATGAAGGAAAAGCTGAGATTTCCACGGTAGATCATTTGGTCTTACATGATTCAGAATATGATGATGCATTAGAAATTACCATCAATGAAACTGATGATATACATATTGAATCTAAAGATAGTGATAATAGAGGTAAATTTATGATGCTTGTTTCTAATATTCCTAATTTCCATTGTTTCCACTAACTGTCTATCATGCTAACTATATTAATAAACTACATTTGTGTGTTGTTTTTCTTTGTTTACACTAGAACGTCTTGGCGTGCTACCTTTCTCTGCTATACATGATTTACCAAAAGACTTTAAAAGTCAATACCGTAATGTTTTTATTCCTGGTGAAGAAGTGCATGTAAACATCATAGACAATGAACGTAGTGTAACAACGCACCCTTTGAATCCAAATTTGTATACAATTGAATTTAGGCATGGTCCATTTAGTTGGACAATTAAAAAACGATATAAACATATCCAGAATTTGCATAATCAATTGAAAATATATCGTACTAGCTTACATATTCCTTTTCCAACAAAAAGTCACAAAGAAAGGAGAAACAGTTTAAGAAGCTTAGGGGATGCAAAGGAAAAAAAAGGTCGAAGAGGTGCATTACCAAGGTATGAAAACATATGTTATATATCTCATATACTTAAAAAATTCATTTTCCAGAATAAGTTAAAAATAAATAATTATTTCATAGATTTCCAAATAAACCAGATGTTCTAGTACCATATGAACAATTAGACCATAGAAAGAGAGTATTAGAAGAATATTTAACAAATTTATTAAAAATAAAAATTTACTTGCATCATCCAGAAACTGTAAGTAAATATTTATAATTTGTGTACATGATATATACTAACTCTTATGCAATATTTTCAGACCAATTTTTTAGAAGTATCACACTTGTCATTCATAGAGGATTTAGGAATGAAAGGTAAAGAAGGAATTGTTTTAAAACGAACTGGATCAGGTGCAAGAACTAGATGCAATTTTTGCGGCCTTCTCGAAGGCATGTGTTGTATTAGATGTAATCATTTTTGCACATCTTTGTGCGGAAAATGGCATTCTCGACATCTTGTCGTTAAAGATACTTTTGTTGCCTATATTAGGCCTAAAGATGGTAGCATAAAATCAGTAATTTTAATGGATAATGGTTTTGGAATTAGTTTTGGCATGTATACAACAGGCTTAAGAAATGGTATGCAAATTGTAAGTCTTAGCAGGCACATAGTAATTAAATGCTGGACAAAAAGAAAGGCAAAAGAATGGATGGAGTTTATACAAGAAGTGAGTAACAAACAAGGTAAGTCTTTAAACAGTATAAAATTTGATATCTAGAAACTTCAAATAACAAATTATATCACTGTAGGTCGAGATTTTATACAAACAAATCCGCACAATTCATTTGCACCTTACCGTTCACCTACACCAGCTACATGGTTCGTCGATGGATCAAGTTATATGTCTGCCGTTGCAGACGCATTAGAAAATGCCACCGAAGAAATTTTCATTGCAGATTGGTGGTTATCACCTGAGATTTTTATGAAGAGGCCAGCAATTAACAGTGACTATTGGCGGCTAGATAAAATCTTACAAAGGAAAGCTGTAAGTATGAACAAAATTTTTTATTAATTACTCAAATTACTATTTTACATTGTGTTCTTTACTTTATTAATGCTGACGTAAACATTCAGGATTCTTGATAAGGCCAATGTAATTTTAATTAAAGTAAGAATTACTATTGCAAATTTATAAAGGAAGTATGAATTTATATTTGTAGTAATTAATTCTTTACTTAGTCGGAAGGAGTGAAGATATTTATAATGATCTACAAGGAAGTAGAAGTCGCGCTAGGCATAAACAGTTTCTATAGTAAACAACGATTAGTTGAACAATGTCCTGAAAATATAAAAGTATTACGCCATCCAGATCATGCGAGAGTAGGAGTGTTTCTTTGGGCACATCATGAGAAAATTGTAGTTGTCGATCAAAGTATTGCTTTTCTCGGTGGTATCGATTTATGTTACGGTCGATGGGATAATAATGAACATAGATTAATAGACTTAGGTAACTTAAACTTGAAATTAAATATTATTCATTGTCATAAATTGCAATTAATTACATTATTTTCAATTTTAGGTAGCACTCATCATTCTAGCATTTACATTCCATCAAAAGGTAAATTTACTAATACCAGCAGTAAGAAAGTATCAAAAACCATTGCAAATAAACATGTTTTATTATCGCTGGCTATTGCAACTAACACGGTCGTGATGGCTACTACAAAATCTATGCCTGTGTTGTAAGTTTTTTTCAGTATTTTTTATACATTTTGGCTAAATAATAAATTAAAAACTTCAACAAATTTATTTCTTAGACCAATGATAAGTAATAAATCATCGATGCCACCAGCATTACCACAATTAAATCCTGGAGATTTATTATTAATGCAACCACCAAACGATTTAGACACGATGAAATGTGATACTCCAAATACAGAGCGTAAAAATTTATTTGGGATTGCAAAAGATACTATGGGCAAAGTGAAACAAAATATTAAGTTAAAAAGGCAAGAGCTAATTAATATGGTGTATAATCCAAACGAAGAAAGTAGTGACGAAGAAGACGTGCTAGACGAGTAAGTTGATTTATTATCAATACATACAGCATAAAGAAAAAACATTGTCATTAAAACAGTTATTGATATATTTTCAGTGATACAGTGCAAACTCCAATTGAAAGTAGTGAATCAACATTATATAACGGACAAGATGTATTTTCAGAATATCCAGGTGTTGCTAAACTATGGCTTGGAAAAGACTACACAAATTTCATTGTTAAGGATTTTAACGATCTCGAAAGACCCTACCAAGATTTAATAGATAGGAGTACTACTCCTAGAATGCCATGGCACGATATGGGAGTTATGGTACAAAATGCATCAGCTAGAGATGTTGCTAGACACTTTATTCAACGTTGGAATGCAATAAAGGTAAATCCTTTTTTTATGTGCACCAGTAGATTAGCGAAGTTTATTTTAAGAAGTTTTATATTAGAATTAAATGTCCAATCAGATGGAGAAAGCAAAATTAAATTCGTGCTACCCGTTTTTACTTCCAAAATCGTATAAAGACTGCAAAAGCTATGTACCATTTATTGAGAAAGCTGCAATACACAACGTTAAATGCCAAGTACTACGATCAGCCAGTTCTTGGTCTGCTGGTTTTCTTGATTCAGAAACTTTAGAACAAAGTATACAAGAAGCTTACATCCAAGCTATTAGTAAAGCAGAAAGGTAGAATTAATTTTTACAAATAAACAAATTAACTAGTATACTTGTGCTAATATATTTCTTTCTATTTAAGGTACATATATATAGAGAATCAATTTTTTATAACACTTGCATCCATGAAACGAACCGCAGTAAAGAATCGCATAGGAGAAACGCTACTCAAACGAATTTTAAGAGCACACCGTGAAGGTGCAGTGTTCAGAGTGTTTGTAATAATGCCTTTGTTACCAGGTTTTGAGGGCGAAGTTGGAGGTCCAACTGGTACTGCCTTACGAGCTATTACACACTGGAATTATGCTTCTATATCTAGGTGAGAATTTCTCATAGTATTAAATTGTGTTAAAAAACAAATGATGAATATGAACTAAATAATTGGGAACTTCTTAATTGTTAATAGAGGTAGAGATGCTATTCTTAATCGGCTAATTGATGCTGGAATAGAAGATCCTAGCGAATACATAACATTCCATGGTTTAAGGGCGCATGCAATGTTAAACGGCACATTAGTGACAGAGCTAATTTATGTTCACAGCAAGCTATTAATTGTAGATGACAGTACGGTCATTTGTGGTTCAGCTAATATTAATGACAGAAGCATGATAGCCACAAGGGACAGCGAGATTGCAGTAATAATTCACGTAAGCGTTACTGACGTACCGATAAAACATTTTACGTTCAAATAGAACAGTTTTATTATTAAAATATTGATTGTTGGACAATCACAGGATCGAGAATTTGAAGATGGAAGAATGAACGATATACCATTCCCCTGCGGCAAATTTGCAGGATCATTACGAAAACAATTAATTTCTGAACATCTAGGATTATTTAAAACCAATGAAGATATAGACGTAACAGATATGATCAGAAGATCATTCTACAGAGATGTATGGTGTGCCAGAAGTAATCGAAATACGGAAATTTATGAGAAAGTGTTTCATTGTATTCCAACAGACAAAGTTGTTAATTTTTCCATGTTAAGACAGTATCAAGATGAAGAACCACTTTGTTTAACAGACCCACTTTTGGCCCAAGAAATGGTCGAGCAAATTAAGGTACAAATAACTAGAAAAAGGATATATTATTTAAACAAATTTTATTTATACTTTTATAAATTTCATTTTTAGGGTCATTTAGTAACTATGCCATTAAAATTTTTATGCAATGAGGATCTGAAACCTGCTGCTGGTACAGTAGAGGGAATAATGCCAACAGCACTATGGACATAGATTTTTGATATTTGAAATCCAACAATAATGAAGTTTCGATCAATATTTTTATTGCAGTTACAAACGTATTAATTTAACGTTAAATTTCTCATTGACTAAAGGACAAAGCATCACTGCGTGTTTGTGATTAAATATTTTATCATGTTCTTAAACAAAACATAAATGTGTTCCAATATAAGGTTGCTATGAGCTACTTTTACTAAAAAGCACTTAATTGTAATAGTAGCACGAATCAATATATAACATATATTGTTAAATTGTATATATTAAGTATTTTTTTAATTCGATTTGTTATTATAATCAGTGGCAACATTGACGAAAAATAATCGTAACTAAACAATATCGAATACTAAAGAAAGTTAGAGTTAAAAGAATATATAGATTATTAATTGTATTCCGAATGGATTACGGTTGTACTTTAACATTTTATAAAGTCTACCTCTTTCTAAAAGAGCACGTTATTAATATTGACATAATATATAAATGTTATTAACTTAAAGTTAATATGATTATTTCACTCATCTAGAGGGCTCAAACATGTTTTATTATAGATGAAAACGCTTAACAATATTTCAACGTGCCTTTTAATAAATTGACTTTTATATTACAAATTTTATTTTAAAATATTATTTATTTGTACTGTATTAAAGCGTAAAAGAACATAGGCAAACTTTTGGCAACCAAACGGTTTATGGCCAACAGCATCAGAAGCTAAATAAATAATAAGTCTACGCTTATCATAAACGTTGGTGCGGTTAAAGAAAATTTTCCTCGTTTTGTCATTTTTACCACCCCAACCTTTACACGACACGCCATCCTTTCCGTTCTATATTAGTATTCTAGTTTTTCGTAAAAGATTTTTTATACATCAGCCAGCAAAATCAAGTCGAACCACCGAAAGATAAATATCTAACTTGCAAATACAATCTTTCAATTGAAATCAATGCATTTACTTCTCAACTATTCACATAAAGTTAATTCGGTACGTGAGGTACAAGTAGCGCTTTAATATCTCTTTTAAAGACTCCGCGTAGGCATATACTGAATGGCGCATAAAATAATAGTTCGTAATGTTACATGCCACTGACTTTTTAACCTTTTTTTCTTTTTTATTGCTTTTATTTAATATAAAAATTTATCATATGACTGCTTTCGAAGTATATTGTAAATGTAACAAATGACGCGGTTAAATCCATTAGTTCTAGTCTTTTTGACTTGGAAATAACGTACTATGTTAAGGACTGTATAAAAATTTACCTGATATTTAAGTTATTTTTCCATAAACACGAAGCTCACATCTAATACTGAAATATTCTTCATTCTTGAAACACATCATCACTAAATTTCCACTAATTATAAAGAATTCACAAAGAATTAACTTATCACGTTTTCGACGCGCGAATTTATGAAACTATTCAAATTGATTTCTTCGCTTCAAACTTCTGCATATCTGTTTACGCATGCGTAATCTACAGGGTGTCCAGTTAACTTTTATACTGAATTGGAGAGTTGATTCTACTTAAAGCCGATTCGATTTTCCTTTTAGTAATATAATAAATGTATCACAAATATATTAAAATGTATTACTAAGTTTCTTTTATAGACAAATATTACACTTCATTTATATTTGTTTCCGGTTCGACTGATTATTCTTAACCGCACTATCAATTTTTTACTCAATTATAAAGAAAATTGCAATCGTCAAATTTTATTACTTTTCAAAGTCAATTAATTTATTGTATTTATATTACAGAAATTACGAATGAATTTTAACCATCTTTACATTACCAACTGATAGTAACATCTACCTTAATAATAAATGAAATATGTATTTTATTAATAAATATTAATTTTGAAAAATACATGGATAAGATAGTGGCACAGACGAGTATCTTGTCTGTGATAACAACACAATTATATAAATAGAATTTAAAAAATCGAAAAAATAATATATTAATACAAGTAATATCAAAAAGGCTAATGTCTTTTTTGTTAAATTAATAGAGAAACATATGTTCAAAATATTTCAATATAATCGAATTATATTAGTGAATGAATAAAACACGTCCTGCACTATCGAGCGACCGAACTAAACTAAATAACAAAAGTTTGTTGTGATTAGTTCATTCCTACCTTTACATTTACTAGGGTGGTTATATCATGGTAAACATTGAACAAATCAATAACCTTATCAGAAAATTATATGTTAACAATAGAAAAGCATTTTACTATCCAATGACGACATATGTTTATCAATTTCATATTAACCGTTTTCATACTTATATATTTTAAATTTTCTGTTATAATAAAAACTATTTACAAGCACATGTTATTTATCACACTACGAAGTACACTAGATTTTTGTATTTTATTTATACTTATGACAAACTGTTTGTAATATATTTATTTTGTATTAAATTGTAAAAACGTCATTTGCAACTTTTTTGTCATGCATTACATTTTACACATAGTATTAAATATTTAGAATAATTTTTCAATATGAACACTTTTCAAACACTCATCTATTAAATTTAAGTTGTCCATGTACTGAGGTGACCTGCCCTCAGGGGCCGCCACGAAAACAGTTTCTTCACTCCTCTCATCCGGTTCCAGCAGAGCAGCTGTCTCTGTTTTTAATACGTCTTGTGTTTTGAATATCACTTTCTGGCGATGTGTTAAATACAATTTTTCGTTTGCAACAGAAATATTAGAATAGTGCAATCCTTCGTTTAGTACCCTTTTCTGTATTATCAAAAAAGAAATGACGTATGTAAGTTCGTGGGAAGAGTTTGAGAAAGGTGCAGAGAGGTTATATCTTCAAGACCCAGCGAAGGTGTGTTTTAATTAAATTAACGTCGATTTTACTGTTTTTTTTTATCACGAAATGCTAGAAATATTCTGTAGCTTATAATTACAGTGTTATATAAATGTATTTCATTCAATAATTTAAAAAACTTTCGTAGGTTATAAACGTCGAGTGACATGACAGTATGACATGTCACATTAACATTCAAAATTAAATTTTGTTTGAATCTTATTTCCAAATGATTGGATTAAATGTAACAAGACGTTTAAGACATAAATTTTGATTATGTTATTCGTATATCTTAATTGTAGGTTTCAGGTAAAATTAATAAAATTTACAGAGACAAATAATATAT